GGACCGAGGGCCCTGCGTCATCACTGAATACCAGGCCTTCAGGTGAGCATCCTGCCACCCTTCAGGAAGGCTCCCGGCTTTGCTTTGGCTTTTTGTGTCCAGGCAAACCTTCCCCATGCTCTGCTGCAGGGAGAACGTGCTCAAGAACCTGGATGACAAGGCTTTTGACAAGCCCATCTGCGAAGCGCTCTTAAACCAAAAATTTTTCAATGGAATTGGGAATTACCTCCGTGCTGAGATCCTGTACAGGTAAGGTGGACTGAGCGTCCGCTGACCTGCCACGGAAGTTTGCCAGAGCTTAACAGCTCCTCAGCTGAGCTGGCTGAGCCTCCTCGCCTGGTAGACACCGGTAAGTGCCAGGACTGGGAGTTGAGGCTTGCCTGTAACAGACGGGATCTCCCAGGTTGAAGATCCCTCCCTTTGAAAAGGCTCGGACCGTGCTGGAGGCCCTGAAGGACGAGGATCAGGCAAGGAAGAAGGTGGGGAACACCCGGCACTTTTGCGTGCTCGGAAAGGGGCGGGTTTCTAGACAGCTGCCATACCAGGGATTTGTTTCTCTGTGGCCACGCAAGACAGCTTGGCAGCTCTTGGGAGCCTCGGTGTCGGGAGCCAGACTGAGCTGAGAAGCAGTCTTGATTGAAGTTTGGACTCAGCAGAGGTGGCTCAGTTTGCTTCCAGCCCCGAGTCTGGGCTCAGCCGGCCGCCCTGCTCTCACTTATGCTTTGGGCTTAGCTGGGCACGAAGCTTTGGTTCAGGTCTGGTGTTTTGGGCTTGTTCCAGTCCAGGGTTCAGGGCCAGTTTCAGTTCGTGTTTTGTTCCTTGCTCTGATGGGGCAGAACATCATCACGAGGCCTTGCAGAGCTCACAGAGGCTCTGCCCACACGACTGTCGGGAGCTATTTGCTGCTCGGAGTCCTTCCTAACCTGACAGAAGGCATTTCCCTTCACAACCACAATGCTTGCTGCGTGGGATTCTTCTCCTCGAGCATTTTACTGTCCTTTGCCATAAACACCCGTGTCTGAGCACGTCTGTCCCTCCAATGGAGCGGCAAATGGGGCACAGCAGTTCTGTATCTTCACGTGTACGGCGCTCGTTCACACGTGGCCAGGGTGATGAGCTGTGACAGGTCCCCGGGCACGTGACCGGGCTTTTGCCCTCAGGAAGCCTTTGGGTATATTTGGGCTGGGTGAAGAGGAAGGGTCGAAGGAAACAAACACCTTGCAAGCTTAAAATCTCCAGGGAAGGCTTCAGCATAGCCCAGGGCTAATGTCATGGCCTCGGGGGAGAGGAGGTGGCTATTTTAAAGGAGGCTGAAAACAAAACAAGCAGCTTGAAGGCTGTTTTTTATAAACTGGTGTTTCTGTGCAAGAGCTCTTTTGAAGCCCACAGTGAGAGTGAGCTCAGGGCTGGCACTTGGTGGGGCATGTGGCTGCTCAACCTAGAATTGATGAGGAACTTGACTGCTGTTGGGGAGGAGACACCCTGACGAGGCTGGGGTGGGCTGGTAGGTGATTTCCCTCTCCTTCTCTACCCCAGCAGAATCCTTCCCTGACGCTGAGCAAGAAGCTGAAGCTGATGCGGGAGAACCCGGATCTCCTGGAGCTGTGCCACACTGTGCCCATGGAGGTCATTGCAGCGGGTGAGGCATAAGGACAGGGAGCTGAGGGCAGGGACAGCTGGGGGTGATGGGAGGCCTGGGCTTGGCATTCCCAGCAGCCTGATGCTTGGGAGGGCACCCCGACACTATGGT